GATCTCCTCAATGACATTAGGTGCAGAATCACCTTTTATTGGAATGAGTTTCGTGCACGCGTGACTGGGTTGATCTCCAATACGGGTGCGTACGACTATGCTGATGAGGAGGACCCGCCCACGGTGGAACCATGTTGCGCTCGGTTCGGCTTGGGGATCTGCAAGGATGATTTCAGCGAGGTGGAACTGGAGCTCATCGACCGTTTGAGAACCGACCTCAAACGCCTCGTGCACGACACCGACGGGTTGAGCGCGTCGGAGAGCGACTGCGGCGTGCCAAGCCTCCCGCTCTACCTGGTGACTGGGTCGCCCAACCTCGACGCATTGGGGGCAGCCGCGGGGTCTGGTGATCGGCCACCGCCGTATTGCTTTGTTATTCGGTGCTGCCAGTTGCTGAACCCTTACAAGATTGTGTTTCTAGAGTGTTTCCCAGCTGCAGCTGGCGCCGTCGCCGAGGGATCACTCATCTATGCTGGCATCCAGAACATACTGGGCAACTTGTTCACGGACTCCACGATGTCAATGGCGCTGAAGCAGCGGGGGTTCGAGGACGTGTTTTTCTTCCGGGTATCTTTCGAATATGAATCCTTGTGGCAGTTCCGTGTTCGCGGTTTGTTACCAATTCCGAAAGAGGGGCTCCGAGCTCACAGGACTAGGAGGGCCATGGATCCCGTGGCATCTCTGCTCAGGAATCTCGACGGCGCTCAGGTGACGAGCAAGAGGACTCGGAAACCAAAGGCCGTGAGCACAGGCAAGAAGCCCGCTAAGAAGACCAAGTGTGGCGACAAGGCAGGTTCGGCACCTTCGGACCCCGAGGGCCCCTTGTCAAGCGGGCCACCGACTGATGCAACCATCTCGTCAGACTCCTCTTCTTCTTCTTCCTCTTCTTCTTCTTCCTCTTCTTCTTCTTCTTCTTCCTCCTCCTCCTCCTCTTCTTCGGCGCACGGCCAGGAGGCCATAGGAGTTATCCCACCGCCTGATGACTGGGATGATTCGGCGCCCGACCCGCCACTTCCAGAGTGGAACCGATATACTAAGCGAGTCACCGACGCCACCACTGGTCGGTACATGGGGGCCATCGCGCCCATGCGCGAGGGGCTCCCAAAGGAAGCTTTGACAGTTTATTGCAGCCGCCACAAGTGCAAGGTTTGCAAAGGCGTTAAACACTCCCCAAGCTACGAGAAAGTTTTGCGATGGTTTGCAGCAGGCGACGCCCTGCCCGCTGGGGCTGAGGGTAAGAAGGCGCATTTGCAGATTTTCCCAAAGCCATAGCTCGTGAAACGCTCTGTCCTCCTCGCGCACTCTCTCCTGCCATATCATTCCTCCGAGCTCCCCCATAATGGCCACCTTCCCTCCTCCGACCTCCCCCGTCTCGACCCCGCCGCCGGGCTCGTCCCTGCTCTTCTCCGACGCAACATCGACAGGTGTTCTTCTTTTTTGTTGCTGTCTGCGCGGCTGCGTTGCCGCGCGATGTTATCGCCAGACAGGATGGGGTGGCCTCTTGAGGAGCCCACCTGAGTATCATCTTTCAAGTCTGTCTGTCTCTCATTTTTGTTTGCCGAGATGGGCGATGCACGTGGCGCCCCAGGGCGCGGTGCCTAGTAGTCGCCCCTCTGATCAGATGAAGCACGCGTTGCCCCCTTTGCGATCTGAAACAACAGCGTTGGCCCTCGTTGGGCCGCAGCACTGCCGCGGCCGAAAACATCTTGGGAATCTGGCGCGTTTGAAAGCTGGGGTGTCCACGAGGAAGAAGACGGCGCGGAGGGGGTGACAGAAGAGCGCGGAGGGGTAGAGGAGCAGGGAGGGGAAGAGATCAGGAGGAGTCGCCAGGGGGGCCCAGCAGAAATCCTTGGCACGAGGGGGACCCCAGCAGGAATACCCGGCACAAGGTTCCTCGTCTTGCTCGTCTTCCTCCTCTTGCTCGCCTTCCTGCCAGATAGAGGGTTCGGCAAGCTCGATCCGCGCCCCTTCGCGGTCGGCGGGCGCTGGCGGTGATCAGTCTTCTCGAGCAAGCCGCGCGTTCGGCGCCCAGGCCAGGGGCATTCCCCAACCCAGCATCCAAGCAAGCCCCAGGAGTTCGGAAGAGCCAAGAAAGGCCAGGCCAGCCCCAGCGGCTGCACTCACACGGTTCAGCCCCGCCCAGGCCCCTTTGGGGATTCCACCAGAGGCCTCCGAGACTGCACTTGCACGCGCGTTTCGTACCCCCCCCGCACCCCCCCCATGGTGCTCAACCGAAGGCCGCAGCGGCTGCGTTCGCACGCGTCACCCCAACCCAGGACACCGAAGCCTGGGCTATAAACCACGGTGCTGACAGCTGCATATTGTCGGGTCCGTCGCCACTTTCGTTTTCTATTTTTATAGTATATCATATCAGATGCTAACATATAGAGTATATCATTTCTACTATATAGTATATCGCATAAACCGTATAATGATATAGTTACTGTGTATATAGTACAAGAATAATATTTATATGATATGTGCATTTTGAGAGTATATAACATATAATCTGTACGTGCCATGGAATGAGGTATCACCTGGAAATGCAGAGACAGGTGCCAAGACCTTTCGTTTTCTGGGTCGTGGCCGTACATGCTCAGGGGATTGTGAGCGCGACTTGTTGTATTGCCCTTTGCGGGGGAAGTTTGTATGAATGCGAACAGGAATCCTGTGTTTGAAGAAATTAACTTTCCTTCCCGTGAGAGGCTACCCCCACGATTCTATACCTGGGCTTCAGGCTCAAGACGTCACATTGATTACCAGCGGCATTGCAGCAGCATCATATCGCGCCCCCACAGTTTCAGCATTACCAGACATGCAAGTAGATTTGCAAGATGGAAATCCAGAGATCGATTACGAGAAGTGTCCCACTGTTAACATAAGGCTGAATGGGCTCCCACCGAACTACAGGAAATGTGCTCTCATTCGCGTGCCTTTGATCATTAACATCACGTCAAAGCAAGCCGATCTTGGACGTGAGCGACGTGAATCCTTGGAGCTACTACAACATGAGCCTGCTGCGCGTGCTTCGAAGTTTCCTCGTCTCGATGCGGCAGGTTCTGTCCAGGTCGTCGATTTGGATAGCCCCGATCTCGAGGAGCCGCCCCAGGGAGATCAGCAGATGGCAGGACCGCTGCCACCATCGCCGAGTGCCGCAGTGCTTCCAGAGGGGCCGAGTAGCAGCCGTCCTACACAAACGCTCGTGGACAGCCTGGAGGGGCTGTCGCAGCCTGCCGTCCAGGAAGGCGATGGGCTAGAGGCAGGGCCTGCTGGTGCGCAGAATCGCAGCATCCGCCTTCACTGTTCGTTCGAGGGCCCCGTCCACGAGAGCTTAGACAATGACAAGGCCGCCGTCGATGACGAGGAGCGCGAAACTGTGTGCTTCGCCAAAGTTCCGGGCAGGTTCGGTGCCGCATATGCCAATCCAGGGTCCCAGGTCCATCGAGAGCAAGAGAGTCAGGCGGTTCAGCACCTGGGCGAGGCTGTTGTTGGCAGTGTTGAGCAGGAGAGTCAGGCGGTTCAGCATCTGGGCGAGGCTGTTGTTGGCAGCGTTGAGCAGGAGAGTCAGGCAGTTCAGCACCTGGGCGAGGCTGTCTTGGGCAGTGTTAGCGAAGACTTCATTCCTGGCGTGACAGGTAGCCAGGCTCCGTGATTTCGGAGTCCAGCATTTCCCCATGCCATCGGTTTGCCTGGACTTCCCAGTGCGCTCAATTAGAAGTGAAAGACGGGCGACTCTGCCGATCTTTGTATTGGGGTCATGGCATAAAATAATACACGCGCTTCGCGCGATTCCCCAAACAGTGTTCGTCCTGCTGGAGTAGCTGGTAGGCGTTCTTGGTCGTTGTTGTGTGGTTGATGCTTTCGGTGAAGAGGAATTGTGCAACTATTGGTACCGATATGCTTATGATATGCTGCGTCATGCTGGTCGTGGTTGCCTCGGGCTCGGTGCTAAGGAAATTATTGACGCTTCGCGTATCCCCACCAGCCCGTCCAGAAACGATCAGCAGTGGAGTTGGTGAAGCAGCTTCCCGCATTGAAGTTTAAGATGGAAATCAACAACCAGTGCAAGCTACGATGGTGCTTCGATGAGGGGCGAGGGGTGTTTCGATGACCTGTAATGGCTGTTGCAATGCTTTGTATATTAAACTCGCGTGCGTTTCGAAACGTGGAGCCATCTTGGGGCTCTCTTGGGGTCATCTTGGGGCCCTCTTGGGGCCCTCCTGGAGCTCTTTCTTGGGGCTCTCTTGAGGTCCTCTGAGGGCCTTCTTGGAGCCCTCTTGGGGCTCAATTGGGGCGTCCAACAATTGGCACGTTTATGGCCGTCATTGTCATCGGAAGCATTGCCATGGCCACATCCGCCGCTCCGCCAGCATTGCCGTGACCACAGTCACCATGAGTCATCACCAGCAGTATGAGGTGGAGGAGGAGGAGGAGGAGGAGGAGAAGGAGGAGGAGGGAACTTTTTTCAATTCGAATGCAACGTGCGACTCGCACTTGTGCAATTGGAGAAAGTCTGAAGCGGCAATGTGCCTCCTGCACAAGATATGCAATAACAAATCAAAAGAATGCTAACAAGCGCGTCACGGAAATGCGACACGTCATTGCGTGCTATCTGATACGTGCGTCGAAATGCAAATTGTTGATGCGTGACATGCGTCGCGCGAAGTAATATGCGGAGAAATACAGTTTCTTCTTAGGGCCTGTTTTTTTTTCTTACAGCCCTCAGTTTCCTGATACGGCGGTTGTTTTCGTGGTAGAGTTTTTTGGCATTTCAACATTTCATAGTCACATCGGGCCAGCATTTCAAACAGCATTTCGAAGCGGGCCAGCATTTCAAACAGCATTTCGAGACGATGCCAACATTTCGAGCCCTACTGCGATGCATTTCCCGTGCATTTCTAACCACAATCTTGGTCTCGCGTTGTTTCCGTTGCCACTTGGGCTCAAGCGAAGTGGCCTGATTTCTGGCAGCGCGTGCTTGCATCGCCAGGTTGGAACACATGGAGGCCCCTGGCGGGGCCGCCGTGAAACGAGTGAAAGCAGAGAGTGGCGATGAGTCTGAAACCCGCGAGGAGGACGCTGCCGCAGGCCCACACAGGTCCCGTCGCGGGAAGGGTGCCGTCGGCGCCGCTGCCCTGTGCGTGATCATTCGCACGTGCGTGACGTGCGTGCATAGCACGAACGAGCCTAACCCATTCACCAGCGGCCCGCACAAGGACTGGGCGCACTGGCCGTGGGCCCACGGCGAGAGCGGCGCTCCCATCGGCAAGCAGTGCAGGGTCTGTTCCATGGCTTTCATACTCGCAGGCTTCAACCTCAAATACAAAGGGCTCAAGGAGCTCTACAGGGACATGAAAACGAGCAAAACCTTGACCGACGAGTTCGTGAACTGCGGGAAGAAGCTGATTCACCTTGCGAACGACGGCGTCATCAAGACCAGAGTCAAGGGCAGCCTGAAGGACGAGGTCAGGCAACTCAGAACATTGCCCGCCACCAGACAAACTGTCGACCTCAAACGGGCGGGCCCTGGGCACCCCCTGCACTTGAGCTGCAGAGGGGTGTCCAGGGCGGACCCGTTTGAAGTTGACATGTTGTTCGGCCGCGGGCTCTGTTTGAAGTTGCTCGCAGGTTAGCGCGATCATGGGCGAGATCAGGACGAAGACCGTGGAGGTAATCAAGCGCACAGGAGTCCACGTGAAGGAGCGCTTCCGCGCAGTGACCCTGACCCGTTGGAAAAAGAAGTACCCGTCGAGCGATCCCAAAGCTGAGGGCATGCTGATGAAGGAGTTGGAAATCCATGGCGAGAAGCAGATGTGCGTTTTTGTGAGACAACTTCCAGCAGGAGAGTTCGACGTTGAAGTTGATGAGAGTTTGGAGACGCTACTTCGCGAGACGTACGACAATGGAAAGCTCAGCCTCCGCGACAACCAGCAGTCTGACATGGTTGGGCGACTCCAGCGGGGCCAAGTAGCACAGCTGATGCCAGATCAGGACGGCAAGGAGATCCCAGATGAGCGGATGGTTCAGAAGAAGTACGGCAAGCTGGCTGGGCCTGGAAAGGGGGGGCCCGTAGTCGTCGACTCAGATTCAAATGAGAGTGAGCCTTCGGAACGCTCTTCTTCTTCGGAGTCTGGCTCGGGGAGTTCTGTGGACGATGACTCCGACGATCAGTTCGGCGTTGGTGGATTGGCCTCGAGCCTGCTGGCGTCAACTGCGGCAGAGGCAAAATCTTCCAAGGTCGCCAAAGCCAAGGCAATGACGAGCTCCAAAGATACCGCCGTGAAACCATCGCCCCGTCCATCGCCGCCAGCCCGGAGAACTCCAGCCACTTCTCCCCCTGCAGGCCGAACTCCTTCGCTGCGCAGCCAAGAGGCGGAGGAGCAGCGCAGCCGGAGCCCGCGCGGAGCAGGCGGAGCAGACAAGAAGGGCCGCGGCAAGGGCTCGATCATCCCGAGCGACCCCAACGAGATCCTCAAGCGCGATAAGTTTTTCGAGGTTGAGAACATCTTCAAAGATGTCGTGGAGCGTCTCATGCAGGAGCCGTTCGATTCCACCCTCATCTCCATGGGCGATGCTAAGGAATTCCAGCAGGAGGGGAAGAAATTGCTCACGAAGTTGCAAGGCGTTCAGAAGGACATCGTCCGCGTGGAGACCCTGGTGAGTCGTCGGCAGAACACGCCGCAGGAGGTGACGAACAAAGTCAAGGCGTTGAGGACGAAGGTGAGGCATATGATATATGTGATGACGGAGTTGCTCAGCGTCAACAAGGCCGTCGACACGGAGCGCTTGAACACTTGCATCGGCATCTTGTCTGCAGATGATGCTGACCCTGGTACGGCAATGAAGGTGATGCTCTTCCGAAGCGTCTGTGCCGACCTGGTTCGCTTCGACAAGACGGAGACTTTGAAGGCTGAGCTGGACCTCGAGGATGGCTTCTGCGCTCGCTACCAGATCGGTGCCAAGTCCGATCGCCAGTTGGTGAACAAGTACGTCGTCGAGTCGGGCCTCTTCAAGATTCTGGACCTGATCGCGGGCAAGAAAAGCGATGCCGATCGCAATGTTCTCCAGCGAGCTATTTGTCTGTGCGAGGCTGCGAAGGACTCTGTCCCCGATGAGATGTCTCAATGCCTTCGCAGTTGTATCGTTATCTTTGGTTCTGCAGAGGATGGCGTTGATTTCGCGGTGCAGGAGACGGAGGCGGATGCAGCTCAAGAGAAAAAGAGAGACACCGCTTCGGCAGGTTTCATGAAGACCATTATGCATCACGAGAGTTGGCCGAGGATCCTCTCCATGGCCCGTGCGGCGATCGCCGAGAAGAAGAAGCGGACATCGGGGCAGAACTTGACGAGGCAGCTCCAGACAAGCTTTGCCAAGCTACTCTCACAGGCCGACTTTTCCTCGAGCGTGGACCTTGCCGATGCCGAGTCCTTCAAGTCGTCCCTGGCGAACGTACTTGCCGACATCAAGGAGAGCGACCCCAACGACCCTCCCGTGCAGAAGTTTGTCGAGTTCCTGAAAGCGCACAAGCAGGCCACGTTGCAGGCGCTTGGCCAGGCCGCGGGCGAGCGCGGCGGCGTCATCGACAGCCTCCTCGAGTGCACCGAGAAGGAGATCCTTGAGACCCGGAAGTGCAATACTAAGAAGTTCTTGGAGAGAGTGCGCGAGTTCGTTCAGGCGTCGAGCGTGCACGTCGAGCTGGTACAAGCTAAGCCTTGGAGGTATAAGTCGGAGCACATCGAAGACGCTGTAACATCCAACGTGAAGGCCGAGAATACTGCAGGGCAATACGTGGAGCTCTTGTGCCTGTTGTGCGACTGTGCAGCCCAGCATGACAACGTGAGCGACGAGTCGTCCAACTTCTTCGGCGTCGTCCATTCGATGAACAAGTTGGTTGAGCAGATGGGGGACGAGATCGGCCCCGACCTGAGGGAGATGATCAATCGCTTCAAGGACAAGTTTAACGTGGAGGGGCGCGGCAAGCTGGACGCCAATGAGAAGTACTTGCCAGACTTGCGGCGAAGATCCGCCATTGCCATCTCCAAAGTAATCAATCCCGACAAACCTGGGGAGCTAGACGCCGAGGTTGCCAACGCCGCTGTTGGTTTGGAGCCCTTGCTGCACAAAGCCCAGCAAGCGTTGGCGCTGATCAAGGAGGGCGACGATGATTGCATGGTGGCCGAGGTCATCTTCAACGAGAGCGTCATCAAGATCGCGCAGTTCCACCACCAAATTGGGGATTTCGGTGTGAATACGGCTACGCCGCCAGACGCCTTCCTGAAACCTTGCGCGAAACTCGTCCACAGTGCACTCAAGACGCCAGGGGGCGCTGAGAAGATTCAACAGTTCATGCTAAAGATCTTCCCCACGCTCGATGCTGACAAGGTGGAGTCGTTTTCGCAGTGGATCGTAGGGGTGCTCGAGTATGCGGCGGATTATGTTGACAACCGCCTGGAGGTGATCAATGCTAAGGCAGAGGAGGCCGACGCGGCCCTGGACGTCCTAACCGATGAGTACGACATTCAGTCTTCTACGCACGCGATCACGGAGGCGTACAAGGCCGCTCGCATCGCTTTGAAGAAGGTCATCGGCGAGTTGACGGAAGCCACAGCCAAGTACGATCTACCGTTGGGTAGGTATCCGATTATCGAGAGTGGGGACAGGAAGGTGGGGACGGCGCTGGAGAAGATCTGCTACTGGGGCGTCAATAGTTTGCTCAAGAAAGAGGACATCGAGAACGAGAAAACTGGCAAGGATGCTCGCAAGGTCTTGAGGGACATCTGGGTCAACCAAATTCTGGCCAAAGGGTTTCAGCCCCCTGCTGACATCACCGCGAACGTCACGAATGTGCTCGCAGTCGACAAGAAGACCTTGAAGAGTAAGAAGGCCGCGGGCACCATGGGCGACGCTGCCGCTGATGGCTGCGCAGATCCTCAAACGAAAAAGAAGGCCAAAGCACAACAGGTACCTGGAACAGGTGGCGAAGAGGCGACGGTGGAACCAATCGAGCAGAAGAAGGAACGGAAGGACAAGGGAGCCCAACCCAAGCAGAAGAAGGACAAAAAGGAAAATAAGGAAAAGAAGGAAAAGAAGGAAAAGAAGGGTGACAAGAAGGATAAGAAAACAGACAAGACCAGGACCACCGACAAGAAAGAGAAGAAGCGTAGGAAGGGCGCTGGAGACATCGATTGAGATTGGCGCCGCGAGATGGGATTCGAGAAGGCAATCGACTTTTGAGCCACTGACAACTGCTGTAGAGTTGAGCCGTGCCGCTGGAACTGGAGGAGGAGAGAAGAGGAGGAGGAGGAGGGGGAGGAGGAGGAGGAAGAGGAGGAGGAGAGGGCGGGAAAGAAGGAGGAGGAGAAGGAGGAGGAGAGGGGTGATTTTGACAGTTCAATTTCGGCCAGGGCCATGGGCCATTGTAGTCTCGCAACACCGCGTACTTCCAGGGTCGGTCGTGCGCGACGGGCAGGCGCTGCGTCGCAGAAGTTGCCTGGCCTGTTACTGTTTGATCCGCTGCCTGTCGAGCGGTGACTGCGTCAAAAAAAAAAAAAACCAAGAGGCGCCCAGAAGATCCCCAAGAAGCCCCCCCCCCCCCAAAGGCCCCCGCACTGCTTCCCAGATGCCCCGGAGAGCGCTCCGATATCGTCGTCGTAGTTCTCCTGCAGGGTTGGCGGCACTGGCCATCAGGACTTCGCAATAGAAGCGTGGGCAAGAGGAGGGGGGGGAGTCCCTGGCGTCACGCATCACATCACGCGTCCCTGGAGTCCCTGGCGGCGCCCCTGTGGTCTCAGCCGCTGTTGTCCTTTCGCAGTGAGGGGCTCAGAGCTGCGCCCGCCCACCTTTGCAGCGCGGCTTCCACATCTATGATGATGAAACGGCCTTCCGCTGCCCCGGGCGATGATGCTGAGTCTGGAAGCCATTTTGGCCATGTTGCCGAGGGGGCTAAGAAGCGGCCCGCTGCTGACGCCCGACTTTCAGCATCCGAACACGGCGACGGTGATGATGACTCTGTCGAGAGTCGACGAGCCCCCGCGGCCCCCACTGCCAAGTGCGGCGGTCGGAGCGGGCGCAGCGGTCTCAGCCCAGGTGGGCGAGGTGGCCGGGGCAGCGGTGCAGCCAGCGCCTCAGCCCAGACGCCGCCGCCTTGGAAGTGCCCAAGGATGTCCAGCAGCGATCCATATCACGTCTCATTGACGAAGACGTTCTTCAAGGTGTTGTCGAAGCGTGAGAAGACCAATATGTCGGAGATGCTGGATTACCTCAGGCAACGGCGCGACACAGAGTTCTCGGTGCTCACTGCTTGCAGCGGGTCGGAGGTCCACGCGAAGGTCGGGGCGGCAGTCTTCGATGTGCTCACTAGCGGGTACATCCAGTACGTGACTTTGGCAGCATGCGAGAGTGACAAGAGAAAAACGAAGTGGATATTAGATGTGGTCGTGGGCGAAGTAGAGGAGACTGAGAGACCCCATATTTTCGAGGACGTCGTGGACCTGTGGAAGGATACCGCGACTTGCTCCGCGCATGGCGGCAAATCCTGTTCTGTTCCAACTGGTGCTCAGGGCCCGCTCGTCGCCTTGATGAGCTTCTCCTGCAAGGACCTCTCCAAGCTGAAGGTCGGCTGGCGGAACTTGAACCCCAGGGCGCTGACTGACCCGAAACTGAGCACTGGGAAAACCTTTCTGGCGATCGTGTCCTACCTGAGCGAGCACAGGCCCCCCGTGTACGCAGGCGAGAACCTTGCGGAAATTGCAGAGTCCGCCTCCCACATGTCTGAGATGGAGGAGGCCTTCCATTCCATCGGCTACGTTTTCCGCGCTCGTGCATTGCACAGTGACAAGTACCAGTCTCCGCAGAAGCGGAGCCGAACGTTCATACTTGCCTTGGACGTCTGGGGCAGCGAGTTGGACCCTGAGTCGGCGAGGGCGCTCATAGACGACGTCTTCAAGTGCATGGGGAAGATGGAGGCGGAACCTCGCGACGGGTTCGACGCGTTCTTGCTGGCCGACGGCGACAACTACTTGGAGAAGCGGCGCGACGAGATCGTGGCGAACAAGCAGAGCATTGACAAGAGCAACACGTGGAGCAAGCCGTACTCTGACTTCCTGGAGGGCAAAGGCATCCAGCTATCCGATTGTGTCCCACCCGAAGAACAGCGCTGCAGCTCTTGGTACGCATGCCTCTGTGACAGGGAGAAGGTCGTGCTCGGCTACAAAATGCTCACGAAGCCCGACGTGACTTCCGTGAACTTGTCCCAGCGGCCCCAGTCAGCTGGAAGCTCTGACGATCCCGATAATTTGAACACGCTCTTGCCTGGCCAGCGGCTGTGGCTCCCGAAGCTTTCAGAGCCAAGATTGTTGCTGGGTCGGGAGTCTCTGGCAATCCAGGGATGGCCAGCCGACGAGTTGGCAGACAAGCTGGAATGGGATAACTTGATGAGTGACCTTGCTGGAAACGCCATCTCGGGTCAGATCTGGATGGCGATGCTGATTGCTATGCTCGGCACTTTGCCAGCCAGTTTTTTCGAGAGCTCACTCGGTGACGATGCGATCTCGCGCCAGGGCAGCGGCGTGGATACACTCTTGGCAGATGCCAGTGTGGACCTCTCGCTGCTAAGCAGCATTGCCGACATGGATTGAGTGTTGATCGGGGGTTGGAGGAGGCGGGAAATGGGGTCTGGGGAGCAACAGAGGAAGGCAATAGCGCGCCGAAGCATACATCGCTAGCATTAGGTACGTGCGTGGTCCTCTGGGGGACCAGGAAGAGGAGGGCGAGGAGGAGGAGGAGGAGGAGGAGGAGGAAAAGGAGGAGTACGACTACGGGGTGGAAGCACACATTCCAGCAACATATGTCTGCCCGAGTTTGCGCCTGTCTGACCTAGGCCACTGCTCAGGCAGTGGCGAGTTGCGCTGACCCTCTGCTCTCAGTGACGAGTTGCGCTGACCCTCTGCTCTAGTGAAGTCCAGCGTTTAATCCTCGTGGATTCGGATGGGCTGGCTTTGTGGGCGTACCCTGACATGATAGAGTGCAAGGTTGGCGGGCCACCATAGCGCCACATCATTCGTGCCTTCTCTCTCTCTCTCTCGCTCTTCCTCTGTCTCTCTTTCTCTCTCCCGCTCTCCCCCTTGCCCTTCCTCATCTTCTCTATCTCTCTCGTTCTCTCCACCTCTCTCTCTCTCTCTCTCTCTCTCTCTGACCGCGATCCCGTGTTGCGGGTCTGACGCCTCCTGGGGTGCCTCGTGGGAACTTTGAAGCCCCCCCTCTGGAAGCAACGGTTTGGGGCTCCATCTGGGCTCATCGAGGTCTTGTTGAGGATCTCCTCTGGGCAGCTTCAGGCACACCTGACGCCTCTCAGGATCTTCACGAGGCAGAAGGATGAGATGTTATCAATGCGCGTTTTCCTTCTTGGGCGTCTTGGGAGCCTCCTCGGGGACGCCTTGGAATCGAAACTGTGGGCATCACACACGTTGGACCGATCTTCGATTCGCGGCTCGCCTGGGTCATCTTGGGAGCCCCTTCGGTGCCCTCTTGGCCCATCTTGAGCCCCCCCCATCCGTTTTCAAAACAGTGCCCCAAGGGAACTAGCGCGGGCGCGTCAACCCGTGTCTCGAGGACAAACTTGTAGTTAGGCCGTTTCCGTCGTGCGGGGAAGGCGAAGCCATGGCGACGTTGTGTGATATGTTACATGTTCGTGCACTGTCTCGTTGTACATACAGACGGCTGCATTGCTGCGCAAATCCGCCGCTCCGTTCTGACTGTGCACCCGACCGTCTCGACCTCGCATGGGGTATGCCAAGAAACCGAGAGCCCTACCACGAAACCGAGAGCCCTACCAAGAAACCGAGAGCCCTACCAAGAAACCGAGAGCCCTACCAAGAAACCGAGAGCCCTACCAAGAAACCGAGAGCCCTACCAAGAAACCGAGAGCCCTACCAAGAAACCGTGAGCCCTACCAAGAAACCGAGAGCCCTACGAAGAAACCGGGAGCCCTACCAAGAAACCAGAAACCCAACCAAGAAATGCTGAAATAAATGCGGGAACCAATGTTCGGTGTAACGTTTGGACGATGTAATACTTGTCCATACTACGTGGCAGACAGGTAATACACAGCCTTTTGCTGCTTTTAATGCGTGAACCGATGTGGTGAAAATTCGCGTCCCTAAGGCGATATCTCCTTGAACCTGATAAGCGATAGGGATCCGAGCTAAGCGGGCTCCTTCCACTTGGAGGAGCCCACCCAAGCCACTTAGGGCACTTGTTGCCCACTTACAAGCTGAGTCAGGTCAGATAGAAGCCGCCTTGGGAACCACTTCTGCCTCCCTATCCCCTCAGCAATCCCCCCCGGGTAATCCAGGCAGGAGCTGCGCAGGCGGAGGCGTTGCTGTCTCCGGCCGAGCCTCCTTCCCTGGCACTGCCTGCCCCGAGCCGGCCCCGAGCCGGACCGACTGCACGGGACCTCGGCGCTGTCCCCCGCGGGCGGGCTCGAGCTGGCCGTGGCCGCTGCGTCGGGGCGGCGGCGCGGCCGGCTTCGAGCGAGGTATCTGGGACACCTGCACGGGCGATACTCGGGCGCGAATTACCCCGGCCCCCTCGAGGCAGGACAAAGATCACGACGGGAGGTGTTTCATTATTTTCGGCCTCTTTGGGCCCTTACCGGGCCTCGGGACCGTCAGAAAACGACTCGGGATGAGAAGCTGGTCCCGGGGAACGGGTCCCGAACCTTGGGGGTCGCGTCAGGAAGAAATCATGACGTCGGTTTTCTGGGTTATGGGGGAGCGATAAGGGGGGGGAGAACGGTGCCCTTTTGGGGCCCGAAAGGGGCACCTTACGGGCCATGAGGGGCCCCCCCCTCCTTTAAGCGCCCCCCCATTAATTCGCGCGCAGGCACAGATCGAAGGGAGCCAGTTGCATGAATAAAGTTTCGACGGTCCGCGAGGATCTCCTGGATTGGCAGCGCCTCCAGCTCCGCTCCTGGCGTGCATCGCGCGCCATGGAGGAGGGATCCCGCCCCGATCCAAGAAATCCGCGCTGCGCGCTGGAAGTTTATGTTTATGTCGCCTCTGCTGGCTTCGAAAGATGATCGTGCTTTGATCTCCGCAGTCTTGGGCCCGAGAGCTTTCCCAGATATCTCCAGGGCTGACGCTGGCAGTTCAAGAGCTTACAACGCGCAGGACCTTGTCCTTTTTAACCTG